CCCCTTCTCTCTCTCTCTCTCTCTCTCTCTCTCTCTCTCTCTCTCTCTCTCTCTCTCTCTCTCTCTCTGTGTGTGTGTGTGTGTGTGTGTGTGTGTGTGTGAGAGTGACGAGCTATCCCTCCCCATCTCAGGACCATTCTTCTGCGTTCTGCCATGCGATGGAACATATCTTCCTTTCACGACCTACCTACCACTACTCGTAAGGCTATACAGGGGACTCCTGCAAGCATAGCTTTCCACTTGTCTTAGGTGAAGGAAGGTTACCTCTATAGTTGGATACAGGTAACGGCATGTTTGTCCCTTTGCTCTAGTGTTTACGCTGCAGGTTTGGGGCCGAGTGGTGTGGCGCGGCCCTGAATGTAATGGAGTACCCATGATCGGTATTAGCGGGATCTATGACCAACACGGGTGTGAGCGCGAGTGGGTTGTGTGTGGTGTGTGGGAGGGTGTTGATCATAGCCTCTGCTTGTACTCGATGAGGGGTGGGGCAGGATGAGAAAGGGGCAAAATGCTTTGTCTTTGAGGTAGCCGGACCCCCGGACCCCCAGCGGCGGGCCCACCCCATCTCTGATTTCCGCTGCTGGGGCAATATGCAGTCCCTATGCTTGCAGGAGTCCCCTCTATACAGTCTTAGGAGTAGTCGTAGGAAGGGTGTTGAAAGGCAAAAAGAATTTGAGAGAAGAACAATGTAGTTTCTTAAGAAAACAAAACAATCTTCGACAGCTGTCCTCCACCTATGCGTGCCTTGCCACGTATTCTTAAGAGTACACGGCCGTTGACGCGTCACACGTAACAAGTGAAAAACGCCTACCTTCTTCCCCCGAATACAACGCACGGTCATTATAGCCGAATTTGGTCCATCTTTCAGTCTAAATTCAGCTATAATGACCGTCCGTTGTATTCGGGGGAAGAAGGTACTGACAACAGCGTTCGTCTGCTCATAGAAGCTGAGAAGATTCAGTGTCCAATATTCACAGTGACGTTGGCCCCCTGAATGTTTAACGGTTTGTTTTTGGTTATCTCAAAGGATAGTTCCAATGGCACCCTACATTTTCAGTACCCCACATTTCCATGCCTTTCGTCTTTCGGGACATCCGGGTCTTTTTTTTTTTTTTTGCACGAACCCGAGAGGATGCTAGGTCCAGCACTAGAGCATGGGCAGATGTGCCCGTCCAGCGTCCCTGAATATTCAGAATGAACTTCCCGCTAGAACTTCCGGGGATGCTCCATTCGTTGATAAGAGCAGTCACCACTAGAATTTCCGGGGATGCTCCATCTCTTGGCGGGGGGAGCAGCACCTGCTGGAAAGCCCGTCCAGCGTCCCTGAACATTCAGAATGAACTTCCCGCGAGATCATGGGCAGATGTGCCCAAAAACACTTGCGCATTTCTTTTGCATTTTGAGTGTGGTGTGGGATGCTCTCTCTCTCTCTCTCTCTCTCTCTCTCTCTCTCTCTCTCTCTCTCTCTCTCTCTCTTGCGCACGCGCGCCCATGGAAGATTCATTTTCAGGGCATACTCACACGGGGACCAAAAAGCCCAAAATCCCAAAATTTGAGTCGTTTTTCGGGTCACACTGGGGTGGCACGGTGACCAAATGCCTCAAACCGTGACCCTTCTGTCAGCGGCCTGCGGGGCCGCGGGTGAACCCTTTTTGAGACCACCTCCGGAGGTGGTCTCAAATGACCAAACGCTTTTTTCTTTTTGTGTTCGCGAATTCAAGAAAATCGTAGACGAATAAGACAGCCGAAACAACTGGAGGGGTGGGAATTGGGGCATTTGGTTTTTTTGAAGCCCGTCGCCTAGTCCCACCACGCGCATGCAGAAGACCCAGCTCTGTGCGCATGCAGAAGACCCAGCTCTGTACGCTGCATCCACGGCGTTTGTCGTGTGTGTTGCGGAGGTGTAGCGCCCGCCTCTCCCCACATCTCCGCCGCTCTCCCCACATCTCCGCCTGTCTCCGCTCCGCCCAAGAGCTCAACCGTTGGGAATGCGTGTGAAATGTATGTGGTTGGTTTTGTGGGTCTGATGCATTCCCAGTGTCCGTTTGTTTCAGCCCAGGGGAACAGTGTGGATACATGGAACTATTTGCATGTATCTGCACTGTTTGCCTGGGCTGATGCGAACGGGGTGATTCATCGTGGGGAATGCATCCAAGCTCGTTTGGAGTTCGGATGCATTCCCCGCGATAAATCACCCCGCGATGAATCACCTCGTTCGCATCAGCCCAGGCAAACAGTGCAGATACATGCAAATCGTCCCATGTATCCACACTGTTCCCCTGGGAGGATACAAACGGGTGCGGCATAGGGATCAGGCCATGTTCCAGCGGGAAGTTGGCTGTCGTTTTGCACATATCCGTTGTTGCGAAGGCCCACGTTATACTGTCGCGAAAGGAATAAAAAAACAAATTCCATATTTGTCTCTGTTGTTTTTTTTTAATTCCATTTGTTTTTTTTTGGTCCTCGACCGTGTGACCCGCCGCACTTGCCCTGAACCCAAAGTGTCAGGGTCGCGACTCCGCCCGTGTGACCACACGGGGACCAAATGCCTCAAAAGACCCGAACCAAATGCCTCAAATTTTTGAGATTTTTGGTCCCCGTGTGAGTATGCCCTCATTTGGACGTTTTCAGAGAGAGAGAGGGCGTCAGAGAATGTCTGACGCGGAGTTAGGTTCGCCAAACTCGCCTGTAGGACACTGTGCATCCCCCCCCACAGCTCACCCTCACAACTCTCAAACTTCCGGCTAGAACATGGGCAGATGTGGCCAAAACAATTTGCACGTTTAGCAATGCCCTCTCTCTCTCTCTCTCTCTCTCTCTCTCTCTCTCTCTCTGGCTCCCAAAAACAATTTGCACGTTTATCGAACGCCCTCTCTCTCTCTCTCTCTCTCTCTCTCTCTCTCTCTCTCTCTCTCGCTCTCGCTCTCTCTCTCTCTGTGTCTAAGCTGGCATCTGCCCAAAAACAATTTGCACGTTTAGCGACGCCCTCTCTCTCTCTCTCTCTCTCTCTCTCTCTCTCTCTCTCTCTCTCTCTCTCTCTCTCTAAGCTGGATGATGATGTCAGTAATTTTCCCGGGTATAATTGTGGGACCCCGGCCCGACTTTTATATTCTTTGCGTCATCGAACTGACAGGGGTGGACCAACTGAGCTAGGCCAGCTGGTAACTGTCTCACGTTCTTGATGAGTGCCGTACTGACAGGGGTGGACCAACTGACCTAGGCCAGCTGGTAAATGTTTCACGTTTGATGAGGAGTGCGGCGGGGCTGTAGAGGGGCCTGGCCGCCCTGCCGCACTACTGACCAAAAGTGCGAAATGGCGCAGCCTTTTTTCCCTTGCCGCACGTGCGAAATGGCGCCGCCTTTTTTCTTTCTTTTTCACATTTGGTGAGTGGGGTGGCAAGGCCCTAGGGGCCTCTCTCCACTACCCAACAAAAAAGAAGGTAAAAGAAATGAAATTTCGGGAAGAACGCCGAAAGGTAGAACGCCATATTTTTCGTCTTTGTGCATGTGGTGAGTTAGCGGTCATCCATCCCGCGTGTTTCACGAGCACGGCGGGAAACCACAGTAGTGAGGCGAGGCCCTTTTGTGTGTTTCCTCATAGGATAGTAAGCCTCATCGCACTGGCACTTACAGAAATGTATCCAGCCATTTTCAGGGCCGAATGGGTGTTCCTTTTTTCTTTTTTTTCCTCACTCTTTCTGGAATCTGACAGCGGAATCCGTGATCAGAGGATTGTAACCGTGATGAAATGGCACTTATAGGAATGTATCCAGCCATTTTCATGGCCCAATCCCTGTTTCCATATTTTTTTTTGTTTTTCGTTTCTGGAATCTGACAATCTGGTCAKGAGGCTGAGATGCCCTCACTGAGGGCACACTCACACTACCACTTCCAAGAATGTACACAACTGCAATCACGACGTGAGTTTCTTTTCTGGAATCT